ATCGATGCCTCGATGTCCTGAATCCATTCAAACTATTTACCTTTCATGGTTATTTTGACTTTGGGGAATAGCCAGAAGTTGCAAGGTGCCAAATGTGGTGAAAAACCACACACCGTGATGTTTTGTGGGAGCCTGCCTTTCTGTTGTTTGGCACTTGGCACCACCATTCATTGCATTTGTGACCATACCTCATAAAGACATTCAGGAAGGAGCACTTCAGGGACTGCTTCAGATAGTGGCAAGAATAGTGGGATAAGTGTATTCAAAGTGAAAGTGAGTATTTTGGTGGGGGATTGATGACAATATGTCATTTATTGTAAAAATTAAAAAAATTTAAACATTTATCATTTTGATCACTCTTGGTAGGTATAAATCTTCATGTCCTTAGATTAGGAAAATTTCTTAGATTTGACACTAAAAGCCCAAACAACAAAAGAACAAAACTGATAAACTGGAATTCATGGAAATTAAAAATGTTTATATTTTAAAGGACAATATCAAGAAAGTGAAAGGACAGCCCACAAGGTGAGAGACTATTTGCAAATCATGTATTTGAGAAGGAATTTGTATCTAGAATATGTAGAGAACTTACAACTCAATAAGAAAACAACCTAATTAAAAAGTTAACCAAGGATTTCAATAGGCATTTTTCTGAAGGTATATAAATGGACAGTAAACACTTGAAATCATGCTCAAAATCATTACCATCAGGGAAATACAAATTAAAACCATAATGAAACATTATTTCATACCCAATTAGGATGGCTATAATTCAAAAGAAAAACTATTTCAAATATTGATGTGGATATAGAGAAACTGGAACATCACACACTGGGGGTTAGAGTGGTGCAACTGCTTTAGAAAACTGACAGATCTCAGATTCAACATAGAGTTGACACATGTCTTTGCAATCCAACTTCTAGGTCTTACCAAAGATGTGACTGAAAATGTCCACACAAAATTTTGTGCATGAATGTTTATGGCAGCATTATTTATACAACCCAAAGTGGAAACAACTCAAATGTCCATTGGCTCATGAATCCATAGATCTAATGTGGTCCACCTAAGCAATGTAATATACTTCTTTGGCAATAAAAAGAAATTGAAATACGGGCATATGCTCCAATAGGGGTGAACCTTGAAAACACTCTAAATGAAAGAAACTAGTAACAAAAGACTGCATTAAAGAAATTCCATTTATACAGAATATTCTGAATAGGGAAATCAACAAAGACAAGAAGTAGATAAATGATTGCCTGTGGTCTGACATGTTGGTTGGGGATAGGGAGGGTGACTGCTGAAGGGTGTGGAGTGATGAAAATGTTTTATAATTCATTGTGATGGCTGCATAAATCTGTGCATATACTAACAGCCATTGAATTTTATGTGTACTTTTAAAATTGTAAGTTACATGATTAGTGAATTATATCTCAATGAAGATGTTACAAATCAAAGAAACCAGCCCTCAACATTATTTAACATCCATGTTGACTTTAGCTTCTCAGTTGGAGTTTATTGATTGGAGCAGTTTAAGCCCACTAGGCAAATGCATTTAGGATGGTTTATCAGACTGGTAGGTTTTTTCTTTTAATATAACTTTCAAATGACTGATGTTAACAGGAGAGTGATATTTTAGGTGATGTCTACCTGATCTAAAAAGAAAAAAGTCATTTAGGTCAAATTCATAATTTTATTCACATCTTGCATATCATGGATTTCTTTTGGCTTCTGTTTCAGATTCCTTAGAGTTCTGTTATTTAGGTGCTGTATGTAAGATTATTATATCTTCTTGGAGACTTATCCTCTAATCATCATGTAGCAACCCTGTTCATCTCTGACTATATTACTTGCCTTGGAATTCTTTTTGTCAGATATTAATAAATAGTGCCGTACCAGCTTTCTTCTATTTGAGGTGTATATTTCATATCTTTTCTTTTTGCTTTTACTTTCAACTTGCCTGTAATTTTTGTACTTAAATTTGTTATAAAGAACATGGTTAGGTCCTTGACAGATTTTTCCATTTCAGTGGAGTGTTGTACATTTTCATTCAGAGTAATTATATGGTTGGGTCCAAACCTGCCATTTTGTTATTTTTTTCTAATTATGTAATAGTCCATTGGGTTGATGGGGAGTTAGCTTTCTTATTGAACTGTCATTGGTTTTCCCTGTCTGGAAGATTTCTCTTTATCCTGCTTCCCTATGACTTTGCATTTAGTTAAGGCCCAGTGTTTCTCAGAGGGATCACTTTCAGTTTTTTGTCCTGATGCTTTCAGCAAAGGCTACAGGTTTCCGAACCCCAGACCTGTTCTGTCTCTACTTTTTTGCTTTGTATTAGTTGTGCACTTGGAGCAAGCTCTATGAGAAAGAATGAGTATGGAGTTGCTCTTTGATCAGGGCTCCTCAGAGTCTAACTTCTCATTTCAGCAGTTATTCAAAGTTAAAAGTTTAGCTGGCTTCTTCATACTCTCATTTTTTTTTGGCAAGTTTCTTCCTGCCTCTGTCAGAGATGAAAGTAGCTGTGCATCTGTTTTGGGGGGAGGGATTGTTCATTTGTGGAATTTAGTACATTTATACCTCAGCTCTGATGAGTTTTAAAAGAAAGTCTGTGGTTTTGTGACTTATCTAACTTCTTCTTGGAGGCTATTGTTATTTTAAACCTTATGCTTTAAAATTATATGCCAGTGGAAGTATCTACAATTGATGTTTATTGCTTAGCGGTTTAATGACTGACAGTCTTCTAATGCCAAATACCATAGAGATCTATAAAAGGGTCATGAGTAAACATGAATGATGATGTTAGCTTTAATATCTATAATCACTCTTGTGATCATTAATACACATTTAGAAAGTGGTGGGCCAGAGTTGAGCTACAATTGACAAGCAACAGAAAAGAAGCATAGAGATTGATTATGCATCTCTGTCCCATGAACATTTATACAGTATTATGAGTTAAAATGAGTGCCAGGGATTTAGCTCAGTGGTTTGGTGGCCTGCCTTGCAAGCACAAGGACCCGAGTTCAATCCCTGGTACCTAAATAAATAAATAAATAAATAAATAAATAAATAAATAAATAAAATGAGATGCAAATGTATTCATGCTGAATATGGCATGTTGGAATCACTTTAGCACTGTATATGATGATTTGTTCAGAGTAGTTAAGATAATCCACTTTATTTTCTACATTTCCCAGTAATGTTATAAAAAAACTTTATGACCAGTGTTTAGGTTTCGTATCTTGATCACATTCTTTTTACTTTGTATTACCTATTAAGATTCAAGAGAGGAGTTTTGCTTGGGTTACTGAAAGCTGAGATGCTATGCTTTCCAGAGGTAATTGGTACACAGAAAAGGACATTAAATGTCCAAAACAATTCTAGCATCTTACCAATTTTTTAAAACGGTTAATTTCAAACATTTGTAGAAGTAGTGAGAATAATGAAATCTCATGCTTCCAGTAATTGAAAGAAGCTAATTTCATTTTATTTATCCTACCCACTGTATTAAAATATTTTTAATTGTTGGAGTATTTTAAAGCTAATCCCAAATATTGTCTCATTTTATTTATATATTGTTTTCCTGATAGGAGAAATGTTTAATATAGCTATATTGGTATAATCATATCTAATAAATTTAATAACTCAGAGTCTTTCAAAAGTTGCTTATCTTGTTTTTCTAGCTACTTGTAAGCACTGAGGAGTGTTAAATTTACTTTATAATTTTTTTAGTCAAATAAACACTATTCTGATTTCTAAGATTTTAGATTTTCATTGCCGTTTTTGGTTGCTTTCAGTAATGTCCTAGATATATTCATTGGTTGCAGGATGACCTATAAGAAAATTTGTTTTGGAACTGAATAAATTTGGGAAACTGTATATTCGATCTCATTGTGGTAATTTATAATGCAGGTTATGCTATGCAAAATTCTGAGAAGTCTGGCAATACAGAGTTAATGTGTCTTCACCAAGAATTTTATAAATTTATTTAATCCCTGAACTTGTTTTTATGTAATATCTGTTAACTAGAATACCTTTTTGGGAAATGTTGTTCTAGGTAGGTGAATGCTGCTTCTGAATAGCAAAATAAAAATATTTGACTTCATTTTATTTTCAATTAATTGGATACTTATTTTTCCATATTGCATTATCAGCTTATTCGAGTAATATCTATTTTTAATTTTCCTATAACCTATTTAATATTAAAATATAGTGTTACAGCTTATACTCCTCAGGAGCTTACATTTAAAAAATTTTTATCTCATTGTCTGAGCATATTAAATATAAGCACATTGTTTTCCACTAGGTAGATATAGCTATACATCGGAGTTCCTCTGTGAGGAAAGATACATGCATTGGTGTTGTATTGAGGGGAAAGCTGGAAATAAGATAGGTAGATGTTTGGTATAAACAGCCTAAAAGATAATAGTGACCATTTAACATCTTTTATTACTGATGAAAATGTCTTCCAGAGAGTTTAAACAAAACTTTAGTAGCATGGTCATTCTCACAAATGATTTACATTTCTGTGTAGTGTTAAAATAGATTCAGTTTAGCTGGGGATTTGGCTCAGTGGTTCCGCTGCCTGTCTTGCAACCACAAGGACCCGATCTCCAGTACAAAAAAACAAACAAAACTATATATATATATATATATATATATATATTCAATTCAAAAAGAATGTAAATGTAAATATTGAACAGGGTCAAGTGGAGGCTAATTTCCCAGAAAAGGAGATGGTTTTCCATTTGGTTCCCTTCTGTGCTCAGTGTGTGACACAGGAGTGAATGAGGAATGATGAGACAGTGGTAGGGCAGCAAATCTGCACCTCATCCTCCCTGGTGTATTTCAGGTGACACATGCCCCGTGTCCCCTCCCCAGACCTCTCTCATGCTTCCAATGGATTGGTTGCCCAGGTGTGTCTCTTGTCTTTATAATGTAGACATGTACAGATGTCTCCCTTTCTCTATGGTGCTACAAAGCTAACTTTTCCCCATTACTTATAGTCAAACTACAACTTCAAGCAGAAGAGAGAGGAGTTGTGTCTATCAAGGGAGTGTGTGCGAACCGTTACCTTGCTATGAAGGAAGATGGAAGATTACTGGCTTCTGTAAGTAATACTTTCTGTTTTTGCAGCTATTTTTGTTTTCATTGGTAGATGTTGATTTACTGGTGTTGGTATTTATTAAATCTTTAAGGGTTTTGCGTGTTTTAAATCATTTAGCATTCATATTCATCCTATAAAGATAAAGAATAGTCCTTTTATTTCACAAAATACAGACTGAAATTGTGAGGAAGTAACCAAGAAAATGGAGAACATGTGAAATAAAGTCTTAATTGGGCCTGGGAGTCTTGATTCAGAGCTAAATTGCTGCATTTTACTCTGCAAAACTATTAAGATATAATTTAAAAATTTTTCCTTATGTTGTGCAGTGATGTAAAGATCAGAAGGGATGGATATGTAAAACTGGTTATCAGTAAGTTTCCTCTTTAGAATTTGATATACTAAAGACTTGCAGAATAGAATGTCAGGTACAAATGCTGGCTCTGCCAATTAGTAGTTGTGTGTTCTTGGGCAAATTATTTTCAGTTAGTTCCCTTATCTGTATAGTAGAAACAATGATCCTATCTTATTGGGGTTTTGAAAAGACTCAATTAGATATTATATATCAAGAGCCCAAATCAATTTCTGACATGTAATCTTAAGAATTCCTCCTCATGTTACTTCTAATTTATATACAAGCTCATTCAAGACAGGGACTTTCTTTTTAAACATATTATCATAGGTACTTAGGGGATACTAGATCTGGCTAGTGTTATTTATACTAGTGCTCACTGGAAACTTTATCATTACTACCAGAAACAGGATTGTATATCTGTTGAGCATGCTGTGTGTAGAGAATGGCATAGGGAAATAGTGAGGTAGCAAAGACATAGATGTTATTTCTTTTTCCTAAGGGAGGAAAAGACATGTATTTGATAGTGTGTGTGTGTGTGTGTGTGTGTGTGTGTGTGTGTACAATGCCAGTGGCTATTTATAACTTGAAGCAATTGTAGTGCTTTGAGTTGCACAAATACTTTTTGAAATGAGGATCTTTAGATTTCTGAAACACCCCAAACAGAAAAAATAGATGCTTCGACCACTCTTATGTCAGATTGATTATTGACAAATATATACTACATTCATGTATCAATTTCTGTGATTTTTTTTCAGGATGAATAACAAGTCTGGTTCACAATTGTTCTTTTAGTATTGAATAGATCTTAGAATTCCCTTTAAGAATAGGTAATACTGAGTATACAGTATGCTAAATGCTATGTTAAACACAATGCTTTTAAAACTGATGGTCATGAGATCTCTAGTCTTAATGAGTTCCAATCCAGGAAAGACAGTAAGTAGGTATTTCTGATAATGTGTACAGGGCTTCATAGGTTCTTTCCATATTTTGCATACATGCATAGTACAGGAAAGGGGTGGAATATTACAATATAGAGATGATAAAGGAAAGGAAGTGCTTGTCTAGAATTGGGGGAGATATGGATTTTATATGAAGAGGAAAGAGCTCAACAGGCATTCAGAGGTATGAAAGCAAGCTACTTGGCATATCTGTAGAATTACAAGTAATTGACTAATACTGGAGTGTAAAGTGCAATGAAATAAAAGAAAAAGAAGGCTGGAAGTTCATATACTGCCTACTGTAGGGTTTTATACACCATGCTTGCTCCAAGTAGTAGAGAGCTTTGGAGAGTTTTAAGATGAGGCTGATGGAGTTTGAATTTGAGAAAGAGCGCTCTGGCAACTCTATAGAGAATGGTTTTGAGGAGGGCAAGACTGGAGAGGGACCATCGGAAGACCACTGTGAAAGTTCATGTGATGGTGAGAACCTGACAATAATAGTAGGGCGCAGAGAACCGAATCAGTGCTGGCACTCATAATTGATCGAATTTTGAAATACAGGAGAGGGAAAAGTAGAAGATGGCTTCCTCATTTTTGGTTTGGATGAGAAGGTGGGTGAGAAAAGGGGAAAAGGAAAAAGAACAAGTTCTGTGGAAAGATAATATGTTTAAATTTAGACCTATTTAATTTGGATTACCAAAGGGAAATTCTGGTGAATAAGTTCACTAAAGTAGTTGGAATTATGTAGAGGTGAGGCCTCTGTTGATATAGAGATTTGAGGGTTGTCATTGGTAGTCAGATTGGGAATGGATGAAGTTTCTAGGTAAAAATATAACTTTTTTTTTTTTTTTTTGGTACCAGAGATTGAACTTGGGACCTTGCACTTGTGAGACAGTCAATCCCCAGCCCTAAAAATAGAACTTTAAGATGTTGACTCTTCGGAATTTTCACTTCTATTCTGCATCATTTTGTTTATCTACTAATCTGTTACCAGCTCACAAGGTGATGCAATAATTTGGGAATCTACCAAAGTAGCATTTTAAATACATCCCAGAATGATGAATTGACAGATTATTTTGGATGACCTTGATTCTGTAGTAAAATGAGAAAGGGCTTTTCAACCCTCATCTTTCTATCTCAGGGGGTGACCAATATCTATGGCCTCTGCCATAATGTTGGTTTGGCTCTTTTCAGTCAGTGAGGGTGGGAGTGAAAAGAAAGGAAATGCATAAAACATTTGCTTCTGTCATAAGCAACTGTGGGCAGCATTATTTGTCAAATGGTATTAAAGCTGTAGGCTTTTTAATATCTATTTTAATCTGCTTCAGTGATTGTGTTGAGATGAATTATTACCCTGGGGTTTTATAAGAATTGGGACTAGAAAATCCAGTGACCTGGTCATCTTAAGAATATAGGCTGGGATACTGCTACATCTTACAGTGACAGAAACAGAAGACTAATAGAAACAGAATCTAATATACCTTAAGATACATTGAAATGACAGGGTTACATAAAAGAAGAAAAAAATTAAAGGACAGACATGGAATTTGAACTGTAATCTTATTCTTAGAGAATTCTCTACAATTTAGAATTCAAAAAATTCTGATCTTTTTTCTTGGCAAACAGGCATTGATTTTCCTGAACTGTTGGATCTATAGTGTGCCTAAAAGAGAATTTTCTAATGTCTTCCTTAAGAAAGAACTGTCACAAGAATAAGGCCATAGCATTTTGTACAGTCTTACATGTGTCATTCCATAGATGTGTGTTAAATTTCCCTGGTACAATATCCACTAGGTTGATGTAATGAGTTAATTTAGCAGTACTTGGAAATTTGGTAATTTATCACAAGTTCTGTAGGGACAAAGCCACAGCCATTACACATAAATTGGTAATTCAGGATTTATCAGTCTCTTTTGAGGAATGGGGCCAGCCAAGATCCAGTTCTTGTAACTATTTACGAATATTCCAGCTCCCATCATAGGGCTTGTTCCTGCCAAGGTCACAAGTTAATCTCTACACTTACCATCCAGATTGGGTGGCTGGCTTCCTTGCACTTTCAGCAGCAATTCTCTCTCTTTCAAATTGCTCTGGTTGGGCTGTCAGTCTTTGGATGAAGAAGTAACTGCCCCATCTCAAAGCCAGAGGTGCTGTTAGTATTTCAGTAAGTGGCATATTTCTCTGAGTCAGATCTGTAGACATTGAGTCGTCAGCATCAGCAACTTTTGGTACAGTGTAAGTCCAGGGTTCTGAAAACTGGAGTTTATGAACTTTCACTTGTCAAAAGCATAATCCTTCCCCACTCTTTTGCTTGGCTCCATTTCAGACTGCATTTTACTCTAGTTGTGATTTTTCAGAAGAGCAACACATGGTTTCTAAGAGGTATTTTAGGTTGATTATTACCAGTGGAGAGTATGAGAAAAGACTAAGTTATTTCCCCCCCCTTTTTTTTTCTACATGTGAATGATTTGAGTGCATTCAGGTTAAGGATTGCTCGCTATTTGAAAAAATTTCTTAAGGACCTTTACTCTCCCTTCAAAACTAGAAAATATGAAAGTTCAAACAGTACCTATATTTAACTGCCAAAGCCTATATTTGGAGCTTGAAGTTGAGTAGTTCTTTAATATACAACAGACTTGTTACTCTGTTTCATAGCAGGATTAAATTTGGTTGCTATGAGCAACAGAAGCCCAGAACAAATATTAGGATCTATGATTTCCCAAAAGTGTTCACAAAATTGTACATTTTTAAAAGAAATTGCATATAGCGAGATTAATTTTAGTTTTAAGTTTAAATCACCAAGCAACCTTAGTGTTAGCATTGTATGAAAATATTTGAGTAGTCTTAATCTACTAAAAGTTGTACATTGTCTTCTATATGACATATAGATCATGAACAAAATAACTCAGTATGAATTAGAATGTAATTTGTGTGGATTTACAGTAGTGAAATAGAGAATATAAATAACTTCTGAGGGGCTAGGGATGTAGCTCAATGGTAGTGTACTTGCCTAATGTGTAGAAGATCTGGATTCAATCCCTAGTACCAGATAAGAAAACAAATTCTCATCTTTTCATTCTCTCACATTTTTTTCTTTTCCCTTTTTGTTCTTCCCCTATGTATCACACCTTCCCTACACCTTTAGCTCCTTTCTTCAAATTTCTAAATGTCAGTAATCTTATTAGAATCTTATGCATTGTTGCAGATGAAAATAAAGTGTTTGTAGATGGGGAGGGGAGGAGGGGGTGAAGGGAGGGCAGAGGTAAGGGGAAAAAATGAGAATCAAGACTTGCCATGTAAAGGTACATGATCCCAACAATGAATGTAACTGTACTGTATCACTAAAATGTACCAATAAACTCAATAAAATTTAAAAAAAAAAGAAAACAAATTCTGAGAATATACTTCAAGTTACTGTAAAATATGTTCTACCTATACGATAGCTTTCTTATTATTTGAGGAGCCTTAACAATGTGAAATGAATTTTACAGTATAGTTAAGTAGGAAAATAGATTTTGGAGGCTCAGCTATTCAAATTAACAACCTATACTGATCAAATTTTTCAGAAACAGTAATTAATGAGGAATATGTGTCATTTTTAGAGCTAAAATACTAAGTTAAATGCAAGAGTTAATGTCAAATAAGAATTATTGCTGGTAAGAATTATTGCTTCTTTAGAAAACAATATTAACAATTCTACACAGCCAATTTATGTT